AGTTTCGTGTACCTGTAATCTATTCGGCTTTGATTTAGGGCTTCCCGTATTATTTCAAACTCTACAGAATCAAAAGCCTTCTCCTAATCGACAAATGCAAGAACCAGCGGTATATTGTACTTACAAAGATCTTAATAGAAAAGTGCATTGAGTACAAAAAGAATAAGACTAATAAAATAAATAGTAGGGACTAGGGACTTATACCCACAATCCGTATTGCAAAAGTTGTTGTAGATGTTTATTGCAGCAGAATGTTGTAGAAGTTATAATACAGCATTATCAGGCCTTAAAAAACTAAAAGCTGAAATACATATATCATCTTAGTTTCTTAAAGACCTGATGATGCAGTATAACTTGTAAACAGTAAAACCAACTTAATCTTTTTCTTAATAAAAATGGACAATTTAATATGGATTGTGAGTATAAAACCTTAGTCATGCTGGTGGCACATGAATATGTGCCACCAGCAACCTTTTCATCATTTGATATTATTAAAAATTTTAAGGATAACGTACACACTTGGCATTTTTAAATCATTAACAATAATAAAAGCTTGCCAAAATTTTCATTAAACAGTAACGCATGGAACTTCTTAAGTTTTTTTTTTCAATGAAAATTTATACTTTTGACAAATATTTCAAATATATTCTTTGCTCTGGTTTATGAGCAAAACGACCAATAACTCGTTTACTAAAGTTGTCAACGTTGTTGGGAAACACTTTTTCAGCGAAATATATTCCCAATACACTTACTCTTTCTTCTTTCACTTGACTTTCTCTTAACTTGCGTAAAAAGTTTTTATCCTCGTCAAATTAAAAAAGCATCTTCCAGCTTTGGATATTGACTGGGGTATGGTATGTCACTAATAGATGCTTTTTAGACTGGTCCTAATGGGGCATCTCGTGCTTCACTTAATTTTTGTTATTTTAATTGTTACTTTATTAACGATATAAAGCCAACGTACCGACAAATTAAAGTAAATAAGACATTTTAAAACTATAAAATGTGTTCTCTGGAGATCGGACTTTTTTTTAACCTCTTTAAAAGTTTTTATTACGTACTGTTACTTACGGCACTTCTTCGTTTTATTTCGCTTAAAAAACTCTACAAGAGTAACTCTTTGATCTACTCACCTTGTGCAGTAAGCACTCGCTTAGTTTTTAAAGCTCGATGTTTTTTCGCTAGACAAATCAACAACGTCAGCAACCATCTTCGTTTATTTTCATGGTTTCTGCTAAGATATTTTGACATGTTGTTCGCTGACAGACAGAAACCTTCCATTTTTAACTTCTTTTCTTATTATTCTCGTTCCTTTGACAAACCTTGTACAGAGCGAACTATTCGTTCGTAAATCAGTCAAGCTCTTGGCAGCTGTACTGCTTACTGATCTAGTCACTTTTGTCAATGAGTCTCGTCTAATTTTCATGCTCGCTCTGACTCGACAAGATTGGTGCTCTTCGCAGCCATATTGCTGGCTGATCTAGTCACGTTTATCAAAAGGATCTCCTTTCGATCTTTTGATATTTGATCTGACTAGACGATTACGCTCATTTAAGCTTATTTTTCTACAAATATAGTGTCAATCATATTGAACACATATAAGAACTGATACTACACTTTATTTTCTTCTAATCAAAACCTCTTGGAATCTGTTAGTCGTGTTTTATCACTGGCACAATTGTTACCATTTTTCGACAAACTGGCATTTTTCTACAGTGAATCTGGCCGAAATAGCATTACTCCCCAGCTGTCATTAAAGACTTTTTTCTGAAATGCGACACCACGACGAGATTTCGACGCTGTTCTTCTTCTTGTTTTGTCGCACCCCACGGAATTCCTATAGGAATAGGGGCCAACGGTATTGTGTTTGACATAGTCTTTCTAGTTTAGTAGGCCAAACAATTTTACTGATTCGACGCTATTAAACATTGTACGCGTTGTTAATCTATCAGAGCACAGCTTCAGATGGCATCCAACAATGTCCTGTGATCAAAATATGACCACCGCTTATTTGTCAATACATATTTTATCCTTACTTAATTCTTTATTAGTATATCGATTTTTTCGTATCTTGTTTTTACGCTTATACTTTTAACTGTTCTTAGAAACATTCGTTTTTGAAGGGGGAGAATGTTTGGGAAAGTATGTAGTATTTATTTTCATATTTTAAATTTAATATTTTGTTTACTGTACTATAATAGGATCTAGTTTAATGGTATATTCTTGTGCTTTTCTGCATGTGCTTTAAAATATATTGTTTTGGTATTTTGTTGTTATTTCGTAAAATCTTATTGTCAAACTGGCTTTAGCGCATGTCTGTTTGTAAGTTCGAAGATATTGACTTTCTCTTTTTATTTGGAAATTATGTCGCCATTCAAAACCGCATTACAATAGCGTTGATTAATGGGATGTACTTGCCCCACGAACCATTGACCACCACAAGAACAGCCAGAGGGTTCTTTCTGACCATCTCAAAACCACAATTCATAACAGCAGCGTACTTAAAAACTTCCAGTTTATCGGTTGAGTTCTCTTTCGAGCCTCGGCGCCGGGCGTCCCTTAACGTCATGACGTGGTACCAACGCTAATCCGCTGGCTACATATACATCAATATTGCAAAAGGTAAGCCGATTCTTTGTACAGATAACAGTAGTGAGTAAATCTAGTTAACCCTTGCAATTTATTCACAATTGATCGTTGCTATTTTTTGCTAATCTATTTACAGTCAAAATATTGCATTTTTACTTCGATTCTTCTAAATTTATTTAACCAGTGACCTCTTAAGTTTTACAAAAAAACAGTATTAACAGGACAACTCTATGCAATTTACCAAAAGATAATGAACGGAAATACAAATAAGATGAACAAAATATTATTTGTAATAGATTTTGTGTCATCACTACAAATAATCACGAAAATATATACGCAAAATCCATTAGCTTTACTAATAAAGAAAGAACTAAATAAATTACATACTGAAGATAACACAACTGCATATTGACGACAACAGTATTCCTATATCAACCCAATAAAAAAGTATGGATCTAAAAAGCTACTTCATAATAAATGGAAATCCACATCATCAAAGCTTTAGAAGATAAAAAGTAAGATTGGACCATGGCAACCATATGGATCCAAACGAAAGCAAATAATTATTTCCCATTTACGACTTGAACATACCAAATTTTCTCATAAACATTAGGGCTGCTTGCATTCTCCCAGACACCACCTGAGCAAACCTGCCCGTGACGACAATTGCTATATCGTCAGCATATCCTAGATAATAGAAGCCTTCTGTGGGACCTTCTGTGTCACCCAAAGCCTTCTGTGTCGCCTTCTGTGTCGCCTTCTGTTGAAGCCTTCTGTGTTGCCCAAAGTACAGGGGACAGAACTCCCCCTTGTGGACAGCTTCCACCTACTTTTGCTTTGATGGTTGTAACCAGAGTGAACATTATTATCCTATTCTCTAGGGATGCCCTTATCTATCTGCATATTACCGCAGGTGCGCCTCGTCTACTCATAGCTCGTATCAAATAGCCGGTGGTAATTTTATTAAATGCACCTTCTATATCTAAGAAGGCGGCCATTGCTATCTCTTTGTCTTCTATTGACTTTGAGATAAGCCTATTTAGATCATCCAACGCAGAGTCCGTAGATTTACCAGGTTGGTATGCATATTGACGATTGCTTAGAGGACTATCTTTTAGCACTACATCTCTAATGTACCTATCAAAAAGCCTTTCTAGCGTTTTTAATAGAAAAGAAGATAGACTTATCGGTCTATATGACTTTGGTGTTAGGTCTGATACTTTACCTACCTTAGGCAAGTATATGACTTTAACCTTTTTTAGAAAAGAAAAACCCAATGTGTGAAGGGTACTGTTCACTTCTTACGGTAAAACATGTGCTAGTGGAAAAGTGCAAAAAATTCAATCGTCACAGATATAAATATCATTTACCAAACAATCTTTAAGACATTTATACTCAAAAATACTATAGATAACCTACTTTTGTTTTTAAAAGACTTTAATTTGCTAAGCAAAGTGTAATTAAATGTTACCATTTCGCTAATAACTTTAATAAGTTGACCTTAACAAAATGACTTAATAAATAACCTTAACAAAATTAATTCTTTTCAGCCACAAGAAAGGATAATTTTTTAAAAACCAAATAGATCAAGCCAATTTTGGTAAATATGTTTATTTATCATTCAGGGTAATTCAACAAAACTAAAAGGAGAAAGCTTTGAAATTTAACGTGCCTGGTTAATTTTACATATATAAATAATACCTTTTATATAGGTAAAGAAATAATAAATAAGACTTACTCACAATCAATTTAATTTAACTATCAGACGACCGGTTTCGCTTTCTACAATATGCAAAGCATCCTCAGGTCTCGATACAAAGTTAAACAAATGATGCCGGGACTCTATTAATTGATGGATTATAGAACATGGTTGAAACTACTATATATTGTTGAATGGAGAACTCAATTCTATTTTTGCAGTTGTTTGACAGTAAACGGGAAGTTCTTGAGGAGATAGATTTGATCCAATGAAGAAGAGATATGTGTGTGATTGTTTGTTAAATGAAAGTGATGTAATATACTATTATGTTATTAAAAGCTATTTATACTTATTCGAGAGATATATTTTTGAAATGTGTGTTATTTATTGAGTAACTGTTTTAAGAAGGTGACAGTTTTATGACAATGAATAAGTTTAGATGTAAAAATTGTGTGGGTGTGCAATTATTTTCAAATTTGTAGTTATCAAATTACTTTGATAAAGTTCTATTGGCAATTAAGAAATTATTGGAAAGGCAAGTAAATAAAATATTAAAATACAAACAATTAAGGACAATTTAAACACACTAAAACAGAAAACACTTAGAAGGTACGAAACAAACATTGAATTTAAAAAGGGGAGAAGGGCTTTAATGCACTACATCGTAGTCTTGGGCACAAATACCTTTTATCTTCACTTTAAAAATACTTACTACACTAAAAGCTCCACATAAACCTATAGCCCCTTGATCTTTTACTTCAGTTACGGCACCTTTTTCTCTCCAGTCAATTTCATCTGGTAAATCACCAATAATGTTTTGTTGTATATTACTTTCTTTGTCAGATACATCAAATTTAATTAGCTTAAACTTATCTAAAAACTCTAATGATGTTAAATCAGTAAATTCTGTGATACCAAGTTTATAAGATGATCGCCCTGCTTCGAATCTTTTATTGTGAGTCTGGATTTTGTGCAAATTATCTTGAAAAATTCTAAAACGATTGGATTCCTCTAGTAAGGTGTAAGATTTAGCATATGTATCCTGAAACATATAAATAATACTTAAAAGCTAAATGCAATAGGTGTATTATTTTTTTTTAATTTAATATTTTATTTATAATCGTAGTAATACGCTCACTAGCTTCCCTAACTAGAAAATTTTTCAAGTGAATTGGGCTATTATGTAATAAACTTTGATGGTACACAAGGCAAATATCGAACACAGTAGTTAATCAAATCTTGCCCAAGTACTTTCGATCATAAGATCATCCTCAAGATAGGCCACAACTGACGAAATGCCCCTGAGGATGATCTTTTGATCGAAAGTACTTGGGCAAGAGTTGATTAACTATTGTGTTCGATATTTGCCTTGCGTACCATCAAAGTTCATTTATTCGAACATTCAACCTTATATTGTATTATGTAATATTAAAAAAATTTTAAGTGAATATTTAGAGGACAATAATTTCTACAAAGACTGTTAAAAACCAAAAATATAAGGAGCAAAAATAAATGAAAAATATTTACAGCAAAAGCATTGTATAGTTACATAAGTTATAACTATTAAAACATCGACTATTTTCAGTTATTTGCAACAAAAAATATTCCCATTGGACTAAATATCGTTAACATTATCATCATCATTTTGTCTTGACAACCCTGGGTGGGCCCTAGATTCTTCAAAAATTTCTCCTCAGTCGTTCCTATCTATCGCCTTATTCCGCCAAGCACGTATACTCAAATTTCTCCTGTCTTCTTCAATGTTATTAAACTAACCTTGTTTTGAGTCTTTCTTTACTTCTCTTACAATGGGTCTATAAGGAGCCTTTTTATAGAAGGGCCAACCGCATCACATGCCCTATCCACCTCAAACGTTCTATCTTAATATGTTTCAATATCAGGTTTCTGATATATTCTATAAAGTTCAAAGTTGTATTGTCTTCTCCACACTCCATTGTCGTTCACTGTTCCATAGATTCACCTTAGTACTTATACTATAGTACATATATAGTACATATATACTATAGTACATATACTAAACCATATATTATAGGACTGGACGTAATATTGTTATGTAGAGTTTTATTTTGGAATTTCTTTATCTTCTTCTTCTTATAGTGCCCCTATAGTGCGTTGGCGAATTATCTTAAGGCCAGACAACTTATTAATGGTAACTCTTGACGTCCATGTTTCCATGCCGTATAATAATATGGACCATACATAGCATTTAACCATCCTGTAGCGGAGATTAAAGGAAAAATTGTAGTTACAGAGAGGCGGTTTAAATTAGATAAATGCTTGTCTTGCTTGTTTGATACGGCATTTTATTTCTTGTTGGGGATCCCATTGGTCATTTATAATCATTACCAAGTATTTATACTAATAAATCTAGTTTTTCTAGCATTTATCTTCAAGCCATATATTTTTCCTAGGGTGTTTATTTTATTTAACATCAACTGCATATCATGTTTATTGTCTGTTATTTTCGCCTTTTCGTCGGCGTAACGAATGTTATTTATCGGAAACTCGTTTACCTTTATTCTACACTCAAAGCCTTTCAGTGCCTCTGCAAAAATGGTCTCTACATAAAGATTGATGTGCATAGGAGACAAAATACACCCCTGTCGCAACCCTCTTAAAATTTCAAATTCTTCTGTGTTGGTTGATTTGTTCACTCTCTCTCATGCTTTTTAATTCCAATAGAGATTCTGGATAAGTCTTATATCTCTATATTTCTCTTCAATGTTAGCATTGTGTAACATTTTTATTAATACGTCATGTTTTACGCTGTCAAACGCTTTTTCATAAAAGAGGAATGTTATGAATATATCCTTTCGTTGATACATGCAGTTTTGTATAAGCGTATTCAAGCAGAGAGCTGCTTCACGTGTACCCAGTCCGCTTTTAAAACCAAATTGTTTCTCACATTCTTGTGTGAAGGATGCAAAGAAACACCTTAAGCAAATGGCTCATTAAACTTATTAGTCTATGGTATTTGTATTTTGTCGCTCTTTGTGATTTAGGGATCAATATAAAGGTAGAATAAAACCGATCCGTTGGAAACTAGCAAGTGTTATATATGGCATTGAAAGTTGTTACCAGCATGTCGATGTTATCATCTTCCAACAGTTTTATGGCTTCCGTAGTAATTCCATCCGGTCCAGGGGCCTAGGTTTGAAGTACTAAATACAAATACCTTGAGCAGATATAGCGCCAGAATTTACATTATATACAAGGAAATATAAAAAACTCCAATTTTTATTTTGACCTGAGTAGTTATCAACCCAAAGGGCAAAATGTTAAGAGAGGCTAATTGAGAGACAAGTGATAAGTGACGTCGACGTTGTCAAATGGTGATGTGTTGGTCTTCTGTCAGTCACAACCACAGGGCAATGTGAAAATGGGAAGTTATGTGATCTACTTTGATGAAAAAACAGACTTTGATAACTGGTAATGAGAAATCGAAATTGCAAATAATTGCTCTGACATTTTAAAAAGTAAATATAATATTATCACTGGAGAAATAATTTATTTTAATTGTAATAGAAGTAAATCAAATATGTTAAAATGTTTAACTGAATAATTAAATATTAATAGATTTATTCTTTATAGTTTAAGTCCCAAAAATGACAACAAAGATCTATATTACAAAAAAGTCAAGGATCACATAAGTTGAGCAATTCATGTACTAGACCAATAAAAGTAGTTATTGAAAACAACACTGTTCTTGTAGAGTGGCAATAAAATCATTATGATCATACTTTTGATTCACAACATATCAATTTAAAAAAGGAAGATAAGAACATAATAGGTTTAAAGCTAATAATCAGAGTTCCACAGCAAAGGTAAAAAAAATGTTTTTCTTTTTATTTTCTTACTTCCAATATTTTCTCCGAGTGTATTAGACATTTATTTCTGGTCGTTTTAGAATTCTAGAAACTAAAGAGGCATATTGATTCGCAAATCAGATTTTTTTCCATAAAAAAGAAGAGAGTGCAAGAAAACCCCAGTCTTAAAAGATCTTCTAAGCAAGAACTCAGCGATATTAAAGAAAATTCATAACATTCCAATGAAGAATCATTTATTATATTTAAATCTGTATCACCATCACGACATGAGTATCAATATTAAAATTTAATATATATATATATATATATATATATATATATATATATATATATATATATATATATATATATGTATATATATTTAATATATATACATTTTCTAAAATGTCGAATTTTTATTTTGTTACAACTTACAAATTAAAATTTCTTAAATAGAAATGTGGTGTAGTTTCTATGTACGAATGTTGTACATTATTATACCAATTGTATTTTGTAACACTTGCTTTAAAATAATAAACAAATATATAATTAATTCTAGAGTCAAACCTAGAATTGGTTTAACCCAAAACCATGGAAAATATTCACATTTTCCTTCTAATAAGGGATTAACATCGTAACCGTCAATATAAAAATTTATTAAGTAAAGTATTGTTTTTAATAAAGTATGTATTCCTTGCTATTAACTACAAAAATATTTTCATTCATTTGTTAATAACATGAAAGACTTTATTCAAAACAAATCGTCACTTGTAAAATTTTTATTTTGATGGTTACGATGTGTTTCCCTTACGCATTTAAGTATTGAAAGAGGATTATTACGCATCATCATTTAAAAATCGCGGTAAAGCTGGTTAAAGAAAATCTGGCACTGTCGGCACCGCTTGGGTTAATTAGCTTCTCGCCAAAATGTTCGATATACCTGTAATGTAAAAAGAAAGCATTATATTATGAGCTAATTATTTCTTCTTTTCCCATTCCAGTAATACCGTCATACCGTAGACTTGCAAATTTTTTTTGTTTTTTTTTTCGTTTACCCAGGGGTACAAAGCTTTCATTAAATGTCGATGTTCTTTGGGTAAGTATTGCTTTCTTAAACATATCGATTCTTAGGAACATTATGACTTTGTGTAAGTGAACATAGACGTTAATGGTCATTGATGTATCTGGTTCATTTATATTTAAACGGTATAATACTCTTGAATCTCTGGCATATTGAATGTGTTCTTTTCAGCTATCATATTCACTACATGCTGAATTTAAGTTCTCAGAATTATGCTTTTGTTTGTGTAGTTGAAAAGTTTCGACACGAAATTGTCTTTGTACCTGGGGTAATCGAAGAGTCAAATTTTATTATAGGAAATTTCGACACCGCGGCGTGAAGCAGGTAGGTAGGTAATTAGCGGCGATGGACATTTGCACCCAAGCAGGACAAGCGGGTTTTCCCAATATTTATTGTCACGGCGGGGGGCGTGGCACTTGTGTACTTGTGACTAAATTATTTCAGTTGTAATTTATTACTTGTTTGACGTTGACTTGTGCACGTATACGGATATTTAAAAATGAGTTTGATAAAAAGTTCCCGTGGTCGAGATTTATTAGTGGTGGAGCATCATTCGTTTTCGAAACAGAAAGTGTTAAGCGGCGAGATATTTTGGCGCTGCATCTAAAGAAACACTAAGTGTTACGCAAAAGTGTTTACAATAGGCTGTGAGGACCTCACCATCACAAAAAGTGATTTGGTACATAATCATGAAGCCGATCCAAAAAAGCTTGAAGTAAAGATGGTAACCAATGCATGTAAAAGAAAAGCCCAAGAGGACATATCGGAAAAGCCTGCCAAAATTACAAGAACTGCTGTTGCTGAGTGTGATGCCAATTTGCTGACGGTTCCTGACATAGCTAGCATAAGAAAGAACATTTACAACTGTCGTCGTAAACTGTTTCCAGGTCCGTTACCAAGAAGCATATCAGAAGTCCATAACGCGGTTAGTAATTATTCTCCTAAAACCTGTCGCAATGAAAGTTTTTTGTTTTTAAATCATCCTGAATTAAATGTAATTGTATTTTCATGCGAGACAAATATTCGTTTGTTGTGTAAATTAAAAACTTTGTATATGGATGGTACATTTTCATACAGTACCAAATATTTTCTACAATTATTTACTATACATGGCTTGGAAAATGGACATTAGTCCTTAGCATACTGTTGTTAAGGACAAATGTCAATGACATACAAAATTTATTTCTTATTAACGTCTAAGATTTTTGAAACATTTCAATTATCATTAGAGCCAACTGAAATATTTGTGTGTGAAAAAGCAATTCACTGTGCTTTATTGTATATGTAGCCCAATGCAAAAATTAGTGGATGCCGTTTGCACTTACACCAAAACTGGTTTAAAAAAATTCAATCTTTGGGTTTGGTACAAGAATATAAGGATACAAATTCAGAAATTGGAAAATGGTTAAGGCATACGTTTGGTTTAACTTATTTAAATCCAGCAGAAGTTAAAAGAATGCTTTCTTTATGATTTAATGTCATATAAACCTATAAACGCAACACTTGATATATATGCAGATTATTTACTGGAAAATTATCTAGAATCCGTCTATTGCGAGGATCACAAATGCATGTGAATCCTTTCATTCGAGATTTAATTCTTCTTTTTATTCAACACATCCTTCTATTTTTATTTTTATTGAAAAGTTAAAAGAATTTCAAGTAGACACTTATGTCAAAATAAATAGTTTACATATACCAGCAAAAATCAAAGATACTACTGTAGGCTAAATGGCATTTTTGGAAAATAGGAAATTACGATCCCAACAAATACGTAGGTTAGATTTTATAAAAGCTGTATCTTATCATTCCTATAATAGCAAATAAATCATTGTATACAAGTATATTAACGGTAAAATTTACAAAAATTAGGTACTAGTTGTATTATATTTAGATATTATTACAGTTATAAAGAAATAAAATGCACATTACTTTTATTAAAATAAATAAATTAATTAATTATGGTATTTTATTTATGTCGCAGCTATATTTATTTGGTGTCGAATATACCTGTAAGATAAAAACGGGAATTGGGGCTGGTGTCGAAAATTGCCATTAAATTTTAGTCGCTACCTGCTTAGTGTCGAAATTTCCTACGCCCGTTGAAATGGTTCACACAGTTCGCACTCTTCATAGCCCAGATTTGTGAAACATATGGTTTTATTGTTAATATGCTTTCGATAAACATTATACTAGTATTGATTAGGACGGCAGGTTGCTAAATAATCCTTGTGCATGATCTGTATGGTTAACTCACTAGGCAGGTACTTACGATACAGCGCGTGTTCACGCCTGTAATGTTAGATACTAAGATTAAAGCTTTTTATATGCATATCATCGAAAATGGGCATTAAAATAAACTCAAACAAAATGTGTCAAATTTTTAGTGTTTAGTCGTGCCCTACATCCCGATGCAAAGCTTTAATTAAATGGAATCCAAGTTGAGAAAGTTCACAAAATGATATATTATGGTAACTGTGATAACGAACCAACTAGATTCAGATATAGAAATAAAACGTAGAATAGCAATGACTAAAACTACTTTTATGAAAATGAAGTCATTTCTTTGCAATAACTATATCAGTTTAGAACTAAGGCAAATAATGGTTAAGTGCTATGTTTGATCCGTACTTTTGTACAAACATGGCTATTCTGACTTTGTTGACTGCTGCCCTGAAAAGTCCGGTAGTGGTTAAGTTATGCATTTTCGCAGGTTATGCAGCCAGGATATTCTTCTCCGTCCTGCACCTTTTTTCCCATGCACTTTACCTTGAAGTATAATCCGAAGTAGGTCATATCGTTGTTCATTGCGCATTATATGGCCCAGGTATTCGAGTTTGCGACGTTTTATGGTTACGACTACTTCGCGGTCTTTATCCATTCTATGTAGTACTTCTTCGTTGGTAATTCTGTCTATCCAGGAAATCCTCAACATGCGTCTATAGCACCACATCTCAAATGCTTCGAGTCTCTTCAGTGATGCTTCAGTTAAGGTCCATGACTTCACGCCATAAAAAAGAACGGAATATACGTAGCATTTTAGTAAACGAATTTTTATTTCCAATTTTATGTCGTGCCTGTTAAAGATTTTTTTCATTGTGACGAAAGCTGATCTTGCCTTCTCGATTTTTATCTTAATTTCCGTCGATTGGTCCCACTGTTCATTTAAGTTTGCACCCAGATATCAAAAGTTGGTGATTTGTGTTATAGATTATTGGTTAACTAGTAATTGACCAGGTGGTATCCTATTTTTGCTTATAACCATGTATTTGGTTTTTTTGATGTTAAAATCAAGCCCAAACCTGCTACTTACTTCTGCCACCATGTAGACAAGTGTCTGCAGACCTTCGAGACTGTCTGCAAAAATGACAGTATCATCAGCGTATCTTATGTTGTTTAATCGTTCTCCGTTTATAAGTATTCCCTCGTCTATGTCCGTTAGCGCTAGGTTCATAATGTGCTCTGAATATGTATTGAACAATAATGGGGACAATATACATCCTGTCGTACACCTCGTTTTATCTTTATATCGTCTGTTAGCTGATCCCCAACTCTAACATCTGCAGTTTGTTCGTAATAGATATTGTTTATTGTACGGCGATCTCTGCTGTCTAGACCAATTGAATTTAAACAGTCTTTAGCAAAGAACATCGAAAAAGTCTTATCTGGGACATATAGTAAGGGAAAGTCGATATAAAATATTACAACTAATCCTTTAAGCAAAGATAGAGGGCCCTAGAGGTGTAGGAAGAAAACAAGTTTCTTGGTTAAAACAGATTCTTGCATGGACTCAAATAACAAATTCAGGACATAATTATTTCATATTGCAGAAGAACGAGACGCCTTCGCAATGGTGATCGCAAACGTCGAATAATTCTAATAAGGCACGCGAATAAGAAGATAAGCATATCAAGGTTTAGAGTAGATATTTTGCTTTTACCAGCCGCATTCACACGTTCTTTTTTAGAGCAGATAGGAGTAGACAATTGAAACACATTTTGTCTGACAAATGCTTTCGCGCTAATCGCGCCAATTAAGTAGCAAAAACACCGCGATTGTGTATTGCTTAGAACAAACACAGTAACTGCAGGCCCCGTCAAGTATATGCGGGGTTTTACCTAAATAATGTTGTAGTTGCGGGGTTCTTCCATTGTTTCCACGCATGTTTTCGTAGATCCTAGGTTTAGTACTTTCTTTCAGAATATATATTTGGGATTGTAAATATTGTACTTTTCTTAAATAATTATGTAATATAAACTCTCTAGGTCTAATTTTCGCGCCCAACTACATTTTCATATTTTTTGCATATGCGGTGTTTTTCCTAAGGACGGCAGTATACCTTTCAGAATCTTCACATATTATAAGATTTTTTCAGATTTTTTTGCTTCCTTATCTGGTGTATAGCTAATGGTAGGTAGGTAGCGTAGAAAAAGTTACGATACATATTAAAATTTAATATCGAGTAGTACTTACCTTAAATGTTTTCCAGACTTCCTTGTCACTAAATCCGGTAACTGTATGTATAATTAAGTAAACAGTAATTACCAGCCTCATCTAGAACACAATAAATAGTAAAGTAAAATGTTTTATTAATAAAAAAGTTTTCACACCTCTATCATTATTTTAACACCAATCTATAAAAACAGCGTTTTAATTTTTTACATTCAATTCTGATGTTTATTTACCTAAAATTGTATTTCGTCTTATTTGTATTATTTGAGATGAAGTAATTTTTGATTAGATTAAAATTGTTTACCTGATCTTAGATAATCAAACCAAGTGATTGGTTTGGAACAAATAAATATCATCGGTACTGTCTCTATAGAGCATTTACTTTCGTAGGTAAAAATAATAATATACAGGATGTCACAAAAATATTAGTCACAAATTATATTTTGCATTTTAGAAATAAAAATAAGTCGATTTGGCTTATCTTACCTGTACGCAAAAGTACACCCCGAAAAGTTACGGGGTATTAAACTTAAACAAAATACAACCAATTTTTTTTAATATTGCTCCACAGCGGTTTAAATGGTTTATGTTTATGTTATAATTATTATTTCTCTGCAAATTTTTTGAAATGTTAAGATGATGTATTCAAACCTAACCCCAACCCCCCACCTTTTTGTGATGTAATATTAGGTATAAAATGGAATGTCAGTGGAATGAAATACTACTACTACTTCGTCGGTTTATAACATTTTCCGCTGTTTTTCGACTTCCAATCGCCACTTATTCCGGTAGTTCCACAGGTATTCTTCTATGGCCCTCTTTCTCAGTTCTTTATTTATTCCTTTGCTCCAACTTTTTCTCGGTCTACCTCGTTTTCTCTTTCATTCTGGTTGCCATTTTATTATTCTTTTGGTATTCGTTGTTCATCCATTCTTTCTATGTGTACGAACCAGATAAGTTGTTTTCTTGTTAGGTCATCTGTGATTGTTCGTTTGATTCCATTATTTCTTTAATGCGTTCGTTGGTAATCCTTTCTCTTCTAGATATTACTGCAAATCTTCTCCAAAAATCCATTTCCGTCACTTTTAGCGTTGCCAGTGATATTTCTTTCAGTGGTCATACCTTACATCTGTATAAAGTGATACTTTTTACTATAGTCTCATATATCCCCTTTTTATTTTCTTTGCTGATGTATATATATATATATATATATATATATATATATATATATATTATATATATATATATATATATATATATATATAATAAGGATCACTCAGACGAGTGGTGGTTTCAAATATCAGTCTACTAGGTGGAGAAATAAAAGACAAAGTTGATACTACTTCATTTATTTTGAAGACGTTTCGCTATCGAATTCTGATAGCATCATCAGTTCATCTAAAAATGTTACATTATGAGTACCACACATTCATGAAGAAGATGTAAAATAGTTACCTTTAAAAAGATATGTAGTTGTCAATGGTATTAATAAGATAGTACAAAAACTCAAATAAATGGACATCATATGGTGATATTGTATAAACAATTAAATAACTAACAACATTTAGAGACTTAGTAAAAATTAGCAAAGCAACAGAGTTTATACAATTTTTAACATTTATACATTTAAATGCCCCCTCCAGAATTCGATAGCGAAACGTCTTCAAAATAGATGAAGTAGTATCAACTTTGTCTTTTATTTTTCCACCTAGTAGACCGATATTTAAACCCACCGCTCGTCTAAGTGATCCGTATTATATATTGCATAGACAATCGTACTCCTTTTTGCGATATATATATATATATATATATATGCATATATTATATATATATATATATATATATATATATATATATATATATATATGTATGTATATATATATATATATGTATATATATATATATATATATATATATATATATATATATATATATATATATATATATATATATATATATATATGTAACCAGTTAATTACAGCTGCCGCCGTTTCTCGCAACCTAGCTTCCAACGGTTGCGATCGTTCCAGTCATCTACTTGTAGACCCCTAACTTCCATTGCACCTTTTACTTCTTGTCTCCACGATCTTCTTGGTCTTCCCTTTTTCCTGCGGTTGGTGAGGATCCACTGTAACATTCTCTTTGGCCATCGTTGATCATTAATCCTTTCTACATGGCCATACCATTTCAGCCTTTTGCATTCTATAGTTTCCAGGATTTCAATGTCTATGCCCATACGCTCTCTGATTTCAGTATTCCTTACTCTATCTCTTCTAGTGAGTTGGCAACATATTCTCCAATAATTCATTTGCATTGCTTTTATTTTGAATGCGTCATTTTTATATATTATCCAAAGCTCTGAACCATATGTAGCAATGCTTTCTATGATACTTTTGTATATCCTAATTTTTGTGTTTCGGGTGATGTGGTTATTCCAAAGTATGCTATTCAGTTGACGTATTGCTGAATTTCCTTGACCAATTCTAGTAGCTATTTCTTTTGTATTTCGACCGTTGTTTGTAATGTTTACACCGAGATATTTATAGCTATCAGTATTTTGAATTTGTTGGCTAGTTCTAAGTTCTTTACTTCACCTCCCACTAATACGTACTCTGTTTTTGATGGATTAATTGATAAGCCCCACTTAGTACATTCTTTATATATTTTTCGTAACATGTAGTGGATATTATCTTGATCTTCTGCAAGTATTACTTGGTCATCAGTGACTTGGCGAAGTCCTTTGGTCACTTTTATCTTTTTTGTCAGTTTTTGTTTAATCTTTATTACACTTGTTATATCATCGTACATCGTTATATCCTTACAGCATTAATGTAAATCGGTGGAATATTCTTGTCTTCTAGCACCTGCCATAGCTTGGCTAATGGGACACTGTCATACGCTTTTTGAAGATCAATAAATATCATGTGTGTCTCCATATTATGTTCCAAACGCTTTTCTATTGTTTGTTTTAGGCAGAACATATTGTCTATACAAAAATGACCAGTACGAAAGCCACTCTGATCCTCAGCGTCTTCCCAACATTCTTCAATTCGGCTTTTAATTATCTTCCTGTAGACTCTACAGATTGAGTTAGTTACACTAAGCCCTCGATAGTTCTTATAATCTTTTCTGTCGCCTTTATTTTTGTATAGATTGCTGATATATGCAGTTTTCCATTCTGGGGGTAGCTCTTCTCCTCTCAAGAATAAATTAAAAGTCTAAGCCAATAGCTAAAATAGTTTTTCAGGGCCATATTTAATCAGTTCAATGGATACTCCCCCCGGTCCTGGAGCCTTTTCATTTTTTATAGCGTTGGCGTGTTTTTTAATTTCTTCTGATGTTATTTCAGTTTCTTCGCGGTAGGAAATATCATATTTTTGGTAGCCAATATCTTGGAATTCTGTTGAATCTTCTGTCAGCATTTGTTTATATTATTCTACCCATAATTCTGAGGCTATTAGAGTTAACCTACTGCATTCTTTTCTATCTGTTCTACTACCTCTAATTGTTTTCCAGGCTTCTTTACTTCTTGCTGTACCCATAAAATTTTCTGCGTTATCGCAGGCTTTATTCCACATCTCATTTTTGGCTTTTCTTACCTCTTTTTTCACTTCTCTGTTTAATCTGTTGTACTGTTGTCGATAGTACGGGTCTTTTGTTGCTAGCTATTTGTTATACATATTCTTCTTCTTCCCCACAAGATCTTCTATTTCTTTATTCCACCATTTATTTCCATTTTTTATGCTATCCACTTCTCCAATAGCTTCCATTGCAGCTTCGTCAAAAGTTTTCATAATTTCGTTGTACGTATTAATTGGTGAGATATAATAAACATCGTGTAATTTCAGATTTAACCACATTCGATACAGAAACTGGGTAGACTCATTTTCAAAACTTTGTAGATTATAATCTCTTTGTTGAAATGTCTTGCAGTATCATTGAACTTTCGTTTTCTTTTTGTCGTTGGCTTCCTTTAAATGTAAATAGTAGTGAGACTTTAAGCAAATCAGATCCAAATTCTGCTCCTCGATGGACTCTAACGTTATTAACCTTTATTGTGGAGTTTTCTTTGCATATACAGTAATCGAACATTGATTTCAAATTCCTCGTTGGCTGAATCTATCTGAATCCATGACTTTTTACTATAGTCTCATATATCCTCTTTTTATTTTCTTTGCTGATGTATTAGTCCCATAAAATGCTGTTTAACATTGTGATTGCTTTTCTTCCTGTCGTATTTTTTTCTCATATGACTTTTTCTAATATTCCATCTTGTGAAATAGTGATACCTAGATATTTTTAGTCACAGTAGTTCTATATTGTGGTGTTATCGCCTACTACAAGATCTTTTTATTTTACTCCAATGCACAGGTATTCGGTGTTCTGTTTATTTACTTCCAGTTCTCATATATCATACTCTTTAATTTATTTTCATGCCGTATTGTTTAAATCGTCATAATTTTCAAAGTCTGCAAAGGTGAGCGTATATACCGTATCGTTGATGAGCGGTATCCCCATTGTCCCGCATTTTTGTTTCCATTTTTTTAAAGCACTTTCGAGGTATATTTTAAATAAAGTGTTGTTATTGGTTAGTTGTATAGCACTTTGACGTATTTTATTAATTCTATATTAATATTTGTGCTTTTCATTGACTGCCACAGCTTTTTCAGTGGAAAGCTGTCGTAGGCTTTCCGTAAGTCGACGAACAACATATGAATATCTTGATTTTGTGCCATCTTTTTTTCTATTATCTGGGTTAAGGAGAAAATGTGGTCAACGCTGGATCGACCTGTATGAAATCCTGCTTGTTTTTTAGATTCGGTTCTTTAAAACCTTTCAATATATTCGACTTATAGATCCGGTTACAGCTATTTCTTGGTAATTTTCATAATTAATATCGCCCTTCTTATGTCTTGTACTGGAGTATAATACCTTCTATTCCGTAGGGATTTCGGTTGTGTTTAGGCATTCTTGAAATATTTGTCGAAGACATTCGTACAATTTGTTCGTTTCGTACTTAAAAAATTCTCCGGGTATAACCCCTGGTCCGGAAGATTTGTTCCTCTTCAGCTGTTTTTATACATTTTTAATTTCTCCTGTTGTTAATCTTATTGTCGAGCCGATTATTGAAATTCTATCTCGGTTTAAATTTCTATGTTCTTGAAATTTGACTATATTATCTACCAAAAGTTCTTTGAAATACTCTTC